AATCCTGTGCACTGAACTGGCCTCTGCCAATGATACAAATAAGCCAGAATTCGTTATATAACAGTTCAGAAGGAGGGGAAACAGAAGGTCAAACAGACTGATGTAAATAGGACTGACGGACATTAATAGTTGTTTGTCTAGTGCCTATTCCTCTTTCTTCTCCTTCTCCCCAAATCTTAGTTTATATTGGGGATCCCTGTGGTTCTGAAGGAGGTGACTCTACCCTGGTTCCAGGGCTGGTACAAACTAATCAGTGGCATAGTGAATGGTTCAAGAGAACGAACGTGATCTAAGCTAGTAAAAAAAAAAGTGAATTTTATGATTTTTTTCTTAGAATGGTTAGAGTCAAAGTTGTTCATTCTCTCTCTCTCTCTCTCTCCCCTTAGATGTAGAAGTGGATACTTATCATACCAGCTGAATAAGGATGGGAAGACAAGCCAGTCTTAGGATAATATCGACCTCTCTAAAGACAGAATGTTGGAAGGAAACTGGGTCACTGGTGGCATTATTAACAATGTTAATGAGCCAAAGCATAAATTATGTCTATCTAGTCCTATATTTGAACTTTTCAATTATAGAAGTGAGCAAGTTCTCTGTACTGTTTAGACCAAATTGAAATTTTGTTTTCAGGTACTTACAAAGAAAAAAAATCCTAACAGATGCAAGGACAAATATATATTGTTATACAATAATTGTAGTAAATATTTGCTGTATACTTACATTTTTATTTAATAAAAATCATTAAAATTAGCAATTTGACAAATTCACAGGAGAGATTTTGGGGAAAATTCATAATCACTGGAAACTGTATATAGGTTTAATAAGAGATTCATTTAAAGGTTTCATTTTGAGTTTCCTGAAGAAAAATTACTTACTTGGAAGTGTACTATGTCTATATTCTATCTTGTGCTGAGGATTCTTCCTGAAGAAAAAGAAAGAAAAGAAATCAAAAATAAGATCTAGCTTTCCAGTCACTAAAAATTAATGACTATTTTAATTAAACTAGAGCACTCACTGACTCACACAGACAATTAGACCCCAATAAGCCTCTCTTAGAAAAGCATTTGCTTTTCCTTGTTAACTACACTCGCCATACTGTACACAGCAGTTGCTTTTTGATTTCAACATTTACTGATGCCAGGCATATTTCTAGATGAAAAGATAGAGTGGTGAACCAAAGTTCTCTCCTCATGACTTACACTCTAGAGAAAGACAGCATGAGACAAACAAAATATATCATATTCCTAAAATAAATATATTTTATTTTTAAAATGTCAATGTCATATGTTACATATATAAAAATATAATGTAAAATAGTACATAGAATATATAACACAATATAAAATGTGTGTGTGTGTGTGTGTGTGTGTGTGTGTGTGTTGTGTAATGTCTAAAAGATACTTTTAAGGTTCTTCTAAATCCAAAGAAAAATCTGACAGTCATGGTAAGCAGACTCCACTGCAATCAGGGTCCTGGCTACTGACTGCTGAGCACCATAAGACACTTAGCTCTAGTCCATCCATCACTCGGGTCAAGAAGGAACACAGAGATCTTCCCGATGCTGCAGAGAGAGATGCCACTGTGTCTCGGGCCTGTTCTCACCTGGCTTGTTCAACCTGAGCATTATGTTGTGCAAGGGGCTCTGGTTTCGGGATCAGAAGACCTAAGTCTGAATTCAAACGACACTGTTTACAGGTTATGCGATTCAGGGTAGTTCCTATGAACCAAGTCTCCACTTCCTCCTCTGTAAGCAGGGATAATAGTGCCTACTTCACACAAGGTTGTTCCAAGGGTTAAATGAAGTAATGTGTATAAACATTTGTAGGCTATTAAGCATTTTACAACCATCAGCTATTTTTATAGAAACAGAAATCAATTTTACTTTAAGATGGGCAACAATATCTGAAAACTGTGCCAGCAAAAGTAATTGCTAAGTTAATACTACATAGTTAAATTTTGCCTTCAGTAATACATACAATTATTATAGTTGAATATGTCTTCAATCACACTTCCCACACTTATAGAATATTTTCTAACATTTGCCTATGTATATTCAATTCTCAAAAACCAGTTATTTCATAATAAGGCGGAATGTCTTTTTCATATAATCCTGAGTTAATGCTAAGTGGCAATTCTGTAGGGTTCTTTGGAGGCATTTGTAATAACTTTCCAGGACAATGTTAAATTCCATCCAGGACTTTTTCCTAATAATGAATGGAAATAGTCAGCATTCATTCATAAAATATTTATATCAACCTTTTTCACAGATGGCATTTTCTATAACTCAGCAGGCCTCAAAATCCTTTCTGTTTTTTGTTTTGTTTTGGGGGGGATGTGTGTTTATGTGTGTGTTTGCATTGTTATTAATTATTAATAGTAATCTTTAGGTTCTAAACACAGAACCATACACTCATAACCACACCAGGTTTTTGTGAGCTGTCACATTTTAAAATATACATTTTCTAAAACATTTCTGATTTTAATGATATAGGTATATGAATAACAATATATATCTGAAGGAAGAACACTTCAGGAAAAGGTAATTTTTAAAACGTCTTTAAATTTGCTTTAAGGCCAAGGTAGAAACAAGCTAGAGCAGGTGGCAAAACACAGAAAGGTCTGTATAGCTCAAGGGGAATGAGTGAGAAGGAAAATAGCAGGAAATCAAGTCAGAGAACTTGTGAGACATGGTAAAGAGTTTTGTAGGAAGCTACCGGAAGGTGTTGAGTAAGAAAACAACATTATACAACTTGTTTTTAGAGAATTCCTCTGGTTGCTATGTGGAAAACAAGCTACAGAAAGGCGAGGGAAGGAAAGGGATATACTCCAGGAAAGAGGTTTTGACTAAGATGATAGAGAGAAAGGAGGTAAGAAGTGGTTAGGGTTTTAAAGGCTGAAATGGCAAGGACTGCCGATGGACCGGAAGAGTGGTGTGAAGAACAGAAAAGAAGCAAGGGTGCTTCTTGGTTTGGGGCCTAAATACTCTGTGAAGGTGAAGTCATTGACAAAGGTGGAGAACACTTGAGAACGCGCTGCTTTCCTGATGGAAATCACGAGTTCTGTTTCAGATGTGGTAAGTGTGAACACTACTTCCAACCAAGAGGGGGCATTCAAACATGAGCCTGGCGCCATTAAGTTAAATTAGCTCACCCAGGGAATACGGATAGAATAGAGAATGGATGAGATCAGAGAACTGAGCCCTCTGGCTCTGCAATAATGTCAGGGAGGAAAAAGGAAGAGGAGACAGCAAAGAAGGCTACGAAAAGTAGCTGGGAATATAACTGATCTGACTGTATGAATATGAATAAATTGCTCTCTGCTCTCCATTTCTACACCATTGAGTGGAGAACCCTGAGCATAACTGATCCAACCTCTGTTTTCCATGTTTTCATGAGGAACTGAGGCTCAGAAAGATCCAAGTAACTAGAAATTTAAGTCTGCTGATTTTAAAACTCATATCTCTCCATCATAAAGAGCTACCTAAAGATTAAGTAGTCAACAGAATAGTAATTTTTATTTTTGCTTACTTCCAAACACTTGGTAATTTAATACCAAAACTTAACACTCAAAAATTTAAATGAACCTGAAGTACTGTTTTACATCAGTGTCTAAAATGGTAACTAGCACATTAGGTGTTCAATATTTGCTCAATGAGGAACTGAGGCTCAGAAAGATCCAAGTTATGCTATAGAATTGGCATAACCATAACTAGAAATTTAAGTCTATTGATTTTAAAATTCATATCTCTCCATCATAAAGAGCTACCTAAATATTAAGTAGTCAACAGAATAGTAATTTTTATTT